TCTCACAAGAAGCTTGTCATGTCTCCATTTGACAGATGAGGGGACTGCACTCAGTAACTTCCTTTATTTCTTCTATCCATCAAGGCACACTTTGGGCCCTGGGCCTTTACTCATGCCCAGTCTCCCAACCTGTGCGTCCTCCCCAAGCTGACCCACATTCCCCTCTTTTATCAGCACCAGCCCTCAGGGCCGTCCAGACCCTGAGCTGCTCAGCAGTGCCTCCTTGGAACCCTCAACATGAGACTCTATGTTGCACGCTCCAGGCTGGCCAGATCTAAAGCCTCAGAGTCTATGCAGGTGTCCTCTTCCCAGACCAGCTACAGGGTAAGGGCCATGGTTGTTCACCCACAAACCCACTTTGGCCAAGCAGCACCGCACCACTTGCAGTGTGCTCTCAGAAACCCAGCCTCACGTGAATCTTTGCACACACATTCTTCGGATGTTGGAATTATTTTCCCCGTTGGATGGAAGAAGGAATCAAGGCCTAAGGAGGCTCAGTAACTTCCTCTGCATCTCACGGCCTCAGAGTGGCAGACCAGCTCTGAGACTCTGCTCTTAACCCACCCAGGCTCAGGTCCTTGGCCAGATCCAGCCTGGGGAGGGGACGGGCCCCAGATATGGTGAGGTGGACATGCTCACCTCACCTCTTACTGGGGTGTGACTTGGAGTAATTCTCTGCATGCCCCAGTTTTCTGACCTCTGGAATGGGGATAAACTACCTAGCAGTGCTATTTACAGGGTTGGGCAGTGATTAAAGAGACTGGAAAAGAAAGAGCGCCCACTGGGCACTCCCTGTCAGTTCCCACCATGCCTGCACACAGCAGGCACTCAGTAAGCACTTATTTGGTCTTACAGTTGGCACGAATCTTGTCCCAACACTTCTAACAACAGGGTGGCATGAAGAGTTAGGCCAGGATGGATTAAGGAATTCAAGAGGATTACTTAGTAATCAGCTAAACCACTTAAGCTGCCTGGGAAAAGGCTAGGATCAGACTGTTCATTAATTTATTTGATAAATGACCGTTGAACACTTATCTGACCTGGAGTGACGATGATAATGATGACAATGATGATGATGATAGTGATGGCAGCGCTCAGTTATTGAGCGGGGTATTTTGTATAGAGTCTCATCACATCAAACCTATAAGGTTGATATGTTTAAATTTTGTTGTTGTTCTGTAATAGGGAAGGTGCTGGTCAGATCTGAGACCAAGATGAGGCAAAAGAGATACCCAGGGCATAAATTTAAGGAGACCCTTGCTTTTGGGGACCAGAGTCCCCACCCCATTGCTTGTGGTGAACACTGTGATGTGCTGCCCAGAGCCACCTTCTATGAAACCATTGCCCTAGTCTGGACACAGTGGTGCATCCTGTAATCCCAGCACTTTGGGAGGCCAAGTCAGGCGGATTACTTGAGGTCAGGAGTTGGAGATCAGGCTGGACAACATGGTGAAACTCCATCTCTACTAAAAATACAAAAGGTAGCCGGGCCTGGTGGCGCATACCTGTAACCCCAGCTACTCAGGAGGCTGAGGCAGGAGAATCACTTGAACTTGGGAGGCAGAGGTTGCAGTGAGCAGAGATCGCGCCACTGCACTCCAGCCTGGGTGACACAGTGAGACGACTCTGTCTTAAAAAAAAAAAAAAAAAAAAAAAAGGAATTATTGCTCTAGCCCCCAGGAGTGCTGTTGGTAGATAGCCGTCCCCTGGCAGCTCCTCCAGGGATGGGCTTAGCTGGGGACAGCGGCCTTGCCCACAGTCACACCACTTCTCTGGGTGGCTCACATCCAGTGACTGATGGAGGCAGGAGTATACAGGATTAAAATGGTCCAACTCAGGCCAACTCTGAAGGGCCCTTCTAGCCCCAGAGCTCCCAATGGGGCTGGCCGAGGCTTCGGCTGGGCCTGCTTTGTAGCCTCTTAGCTGGCTCCGGCTTCTGTCCTCTCCCTTCTGCAGGTGTGGATCCTGAAGGCACTCCCTAACACACCTCTTGCTAGCTGAATGTCATCTCAGAGTCTGCTTCCCGGGGAACCCAAACTGCAACAGTGTCGCTGTTGGAGTAACCTCTTTCTAGCTGGTTAAAACACAGCCTTCCTGAGATTCTAATACAAAGGTATCTCCAAAAAGTGCTGTTATCAGGGATAACAACAGCACTTACTACAAACCACACTGCTCTCAATACTTTACCTGCACTAACTTGTTTAATCTCCACAGCGGTTCTACAGGGTGGTACTATTAGCATCCCCATTGTAAAGATGAGTTCAAGGGAAGTTGCACTTTTCTTGAAGGACAAACAAACAAACCCACAAATGGCAGCTTGTTGATAAAATCCAGTCAATCAAAAGATAATTCAAAATAAAGAACATCAGCCTGGAAACTTTCATATGAATAGGAAAACAAAACAAAACAAAACAAAAGGATGGGAAAATGACTTATCTGTGTCATGACTCAGTTCCCAACCCTGAGGAAGCCTGATTTCTGACCCCAAAGATCCAGCTTAGGTGTAAGAGTGAAATCCACAGCACCACAGAGGCAACAGGTTGCTTTAGGGGGCAGCCTTGGGGGAGACATGAGCAACACCCTGACGGCACCATGGGAAGCTTGTGTGACTATCTTAGGAGAGCCAAGATTCGGGAGGTATGGTGGCTTGCTTGAGGTCAGTCAGCTGGTAAGAGTCGCTTCTGGAACTGGACCCTGAGGCTGTCAGACGACAAGCCCATTGCTCTCCTCACTGCCTCTATACATACTCTCTCTTCCCCTGGTAGGGGATGGTAGGGTCAGAAGTCTCCAAACAGTGTCAGGGGTTTGGGGATCCAGGCGGTGGGTTGCCCCAGCCTCATCTTCTCCCGTGTCCATCGGTCTGCTGTCCAACTTCTCAGCAGTCTCTTTTGGAGGGATGGGGGAGGGAAGAGCTCAGCAGCTGGACTCCCTCCTCCGCTTCCCCTTTAACTCTGGAAAGAGGCAGGTGTTGGGGTTTTCGTTGTAATCCCTTCCATATGGAGAGCACTTCAAAGTTTACCAACTGCTTATCAACCCATCTCTGAATTTGTTCCTTACTAATTGTGAGGCTTATTGCTTTGTAATGTAGCAGGGCAGGGATATTAGCCCCATTTTACTGGTGTAGAAACTGAGGACCAGAGAGAAGGGAATCAGGGAAGTGTCCAGCTCAGGGCTAAACCCTCCTGTCCTAATTCAGCCCCATGGTTTCTGTCTCTGGCCTGGGGTTCTGGGCAAAGCAGCGGGGCGGCGGGGTAGCAAACGCCAGCCTCTGAGCCCAGAGCTCAGGCCAGTCCCTTCCCAGAAGCCTCTCTTCCTTTTTCTCTTCATCCTGCCGCAGAAATCCCATGGTCTTAGGGAGACCTTTACTCATTTGCCAAACACCTTCTGTCATCAGCCACATGCCCATCCTCGTAGCTTCAGAGCACAGTAGGTCCTGGGAGAACTCACAGGCTGATGGAGGGTCACATCCACAAAAAAGCCTGGCTTGAGAACCAAGCCCAGCTGCTGGGGACAGAAGGTCTCGGCCTGGTGTTCCTCTCCAGTGTCCCTGGAATCCACGCTTTCCTAGAGAGTGCCCCATGACCCGTCCTAGCACTGTCCGCAGCGTCTCTGACCCAGCCTCCTCCCTGCCTTCAATCTCTTTCCCAGCTTTTCTCCCCACATCTCAGAAGCACCTAGGGATTTTTCCAGAGTGAACAGCAGAGGGTGGCCAGGAACTCACGCTGGTGCTCAGGACTCCGAGGGCAAATCCTGCCAGGCCTGGGCCCACTCCACATCCCTCATCTGTAGAATGAGGACTGTGCTTGCCTCACAAAGTTGTCGTAAAGTCATCTGACCTTTCTTGTACCTTCTAGACACCCCACACCTTCCCCAAACATTTGTTGTACTTGTGTGCCTTCCTGCCTTGAAACAGGCTCTTCTCTCCTAAAAACATATTCATCACTCAAGGCTCTGTTCATCACATCAAATGTCACTGCTTCCCTGAAGCCTGAACTGACCCCAACCTCAACTATTAATAGCTGAAACTGCTCCCTCCTCTGGGTGTGCCTGCTTGGCCAGTCTATTGTCTTGGCTGTACAATCCCCCTCCCCCATCCCCTCCGAAATGTTTTCTTTTCTTTTCTTTTTTTTTTTGAGGACTCTCACTCTGTTGCCAGGCTGGAGTGCTGTGGCATGATCTTGGCTCACTGCAACTTCTGCCTCCTGGGTTCAAGCGATTCTCCTGCCTCAGCCTCCCAAATAGCTGGGACTACAGGCACGCACCACCACGCCCAGCTAATTTTTGTATTTTTAGGAGAGACAGGGTTTCATCATGTTAGCTAGGATGGTCTCAATCTCTTGACCTCGTGATCTGCCCACCTCGGCCTCCCAAAGTGCTGCCTAAGCGCTGTTTTCTAGAACTCATCACAGTCTTCCTTGCAGCAAGATTAGTTTATTTCCAGGCCTGTTAGCCGCCTTCTCCCACCTGGACTGTGATTCTATGAGAGCATGCACCAAGTTGACACAGGGCCTGGAATAAAATCAGCACCAATTTGTAGAATAATAATTGCTGTCACTTACTGAGAACTGCCCAGGTGTTTGGCACTGTACTAACGGCAGCATAACTACCTGAGGAGACGCGGACCATCTCCCTCTAGGAAACAGCCTCAGAAATCAGAACGGATGGTGTCTTGGGCAAGGGAGACTCAAGGTCCAAAGCTAGGCTGTCTGAACCCGGTGCCACCCAGCTCCTCTCTGGCAGAGCACCAAGCTCCCCCCACCCTAGGAGCTGGGAAGTCCAGTGGGTTGCCCCACCACCCAGTGGCAGCCTCTGCCCTCCAGGTTGTGACATAACAATTGCACAACCCACAAGATATTTTTGAAAGAAACTGTCGGTTTCCTCTCCTGGGCACTGCTGGGGACTGTGGCCCCCATGCCATCCAGTGTCTTCAGCAGCCTTGGGACTTTGGAAGCTAAATATAGTCAGGGCTCGGGGTGATAAGGAAATGAAAACGGCAAGACTGTAAAGTGACCCAGTTTTATTTTGGTTTTGTTGGCCAGATAGGGCATTGCTCCACGGGTTTGGGCTGTACAATCTTCCCCTCCTTGAGGTGGGAGGCCCAGCAACGGCTGGGCCCAGGCAGCGGGGTGGGAGGCTCAGGAGATGGTGGCTCTGGGGACCCGATTCCGAGGAGGGAGAGGGCAGCAGGCAGAGGCCTGCAATGGCTCAGATTGGGGGGAGAGGGAGGCGAGGGGGAGAGGACACGATCCAAGAACCGGAGTCCGAAAGCTGAAGCTGGTCCAGTCTCCTTCACTTTACCGCCGAGGCTGGGGTCAGAGAAGTGAAGCCAAACTGTCCTCCGGCAGGAGGCAGGGCCTGGAGGGACGCCAGGGTCCCAGCCCGGTGCCCGGCCCCGAGCACACAGCCGCCGACTCCACCCTCGCGGAGGGCGCGCGCGGGGCCCAGTCGCCGCGTGCGGGGTCCGGCGGGCAGTCGGGCCGCTTCTCCTCTCGGGCACGCCGGGCGGGCGCCGGCCGCGCTCAGCAGCTGACGGAGCCGGCGGGAGGCGCGGACCCCAAGTCCGAGAAGCAGTCGAACTCGCTCTGGCCCAGGAAGAGCTCGGGCAGCTCGCGCACGCGGTGCAGCCCGAGCTCCAGCTCCAGCGACGTCAGCGCCTCCTCATCGATGAGTTCGGCGTCCATGCCGCCCAGGGCGAGCGCGGGCGGCGGCGGGGCTGCGGCGCTAGGCACCGGCAGCGGGCCCTGGGGGCCTCCCGGGGCGTTGGGGGGCGCGGTCGCGCGGCCGGGGTACGGCGTCGCCACAGGTTGCAGGTGCGCGCTGCCCGCGGCCGGCGGAGGCACTGCCGGAAAGGGCTGGAAGGAGGACGGCGGCCCGAAGGCCCCGTACGCCAGGGCCCCGGGTTGCGGGGGCGGCGGCGGCCCCAGGGGAGCCCCCCGCGGCCTCAGCCCGCTGTCCAGGCCTGGGCCAGCGTACGGCGGCAGAGTCCGGAGCGCATGAGGGCCATGGGCGGCCGCGGTGGACGGCGGCCTCTGCACCAGGCGATAGCCCTCAGCGAGCATCAGGTGGTCGGCCATGGCGGTGGGCCGGCTGCCTGCGGGGACAGTGCGCGGTGGTCAGCGCCGGCTCCCCCGGCCCGGGCCAGCAGCTCCTCTGCGGCGGGAGACCCGGGCACCGTGCGGACCCTGCAGATCGGCCGGGCGGAGCAAAACCAAACCCGACTGGTGCCCCGGCCCAGCCCACTACTGCGCACCTTGCGGCCGCAGCGCCAGGTCACAAAGGCCCGCACGGTGTAGCGCTCCGAAACCTCCGCGCCGCGTACCGGGGCTCGGCGTATTCTTATACCCAGAGGCGGGGCTTCCCCGCCCTCGGACGCTCATTGGCTCGGAGAGACGCTTCTGGGCGGGCCGCGCACGTCTGCATCTAGGTCTTGGCCCCGCCCCCCGCTGGAGCCCCGCCCCCCTTGGTACCCCGGCCCCGCCCCAGGCTCTGAGCACCGCCCTGGGGAGGGGTATTTGGCATTTTCCGAGGGATTCAGTCTGGCCTTCAGGGCTTCGGAATGAGGCTTGGCTGGGGTCGAGCTTGAACTGACCAGAAGGTGGGGTGGGAGGGCCAGAGTTTTTGGCCCCTCGAGAGCTGCAGGATGTCAGGCCTACGCAACCTTTTAACTTTCCAGATTGAGACCGAGGCTCAGTGGCGGAAGAGGCTTCTTGGAAATACACAGCAAAGCCTTGATCCAAGTGAGACTCGAGCCCAGCCTTTGTGATTGCACAGCTACAGAGGGCGCATGCACCTTAGCGGTGCAGGGTCCTCGCAGGAGGTCAGCTGTCCATCCCCATAACCCCCAGGAGAACCTGTTGTTCCCCTTCTAGTTCCCACTGCACCTTGTCTGTTGAAGCATGTACTAAGTTGTTATTAAAGTAATTTATGGGCACGTCTCCTGAAGGACTTGTTCATCTTCTTCTTCTCAGCACTTGGCCCAGAGCCTGGCCCCGAGCAGGCTTTTAGTAAAAGCTGAGTGAATGAATTAATGATGGAATGAATTGCAACTCTCAGCGAGCCTCAGTTTCTTCATCTGTAAAAGGTAAAGAACAGCAGCACTGGCCCTTTGTGAGGGGTAAGTGAGGGCATGTGTGTACAGTGACACGCACAGTGCCTGGCACGTGGTAGATGCTCAAAAGTGTCCCTCAGATGAAAGAAAGGCTGTTTAAGTTCTGTCCCAAAGGGCTTTCCCTTGATAACAGCAATAATAACTTGGACTTTTGGAGTGCTTTACATTCTACAAGTATTTTGTCGGGGGCAGGACATGGATTATCAGCCCCATTTTGGTGATGAGGAGAAGCACACAAAGAGAAAGTGGATGTCCAGAGGTCACAGGCAGTCAGAGTTACCTTGTGAATGCCATGTGTTTTCCAAGTCCTTAGGGCAACTGGAGTCTTTCCCGTGGCCAGGAAACAGCCTCCCAGAACCTTGCCTTCCACGCATTTGACACTCTCTCTCCCTTCTCTGCCCTTCCTCCCTCAGTGGCGTCCTCGAAACTTCCTGGAACTTGGGTTTATCCAAGTGATGGAGAGGGGAGAGCCCTAGAGTGAGAATTCAGAGGCCTAAGGTCTTTTTTTCCCCTCTTTCTTCTTCTTATTTTTTAAAATAGAGGAGAGAGTGGGGGCGGCATGGGGGAGTGAGGAGGGCCTCAGGCTGATCTTGAATCCCTGGCTTCAAGTGATCCTCCCACCTCATCTTTCCAAAGTGCTGGGATTACAGGCATGAGCCACTGCGCCCAGCCAGAGGCCTAAGCTCTAATCATATCTCTGCCACCCGCAGGTGTGTGACCTCCACTACCAACCAGCTGTGACTGTTGAGTGTTGAGCAGGGAGTATCACTTGATACCCCAGGGCCTCAGCTTTCTGCTCTGTGAAAGGGAGATGGTGATCTTGCCTGGCCAACCGGAGAGCTTGTGGGAAGTGATAAATGACCATGGGTGTGGTCACATTTTTGCAAAGTATAAAAAGCTACACCCTGGAATTTATTCCCCCGAATCTTTCTCTACAGGTAAGGCTTCTCACAGGAATTCCTAAACCTGGCCATACCTCACACTTATCTGGAGATGTGGGGGGTAAGAGATGGGTGAGTGGGTGCTTTGAGAAAGACAAAAAATCTCTGCCCAACCCTAACTTCCTGACACAGACTCTCCAAGGGTATTTTTAAACCACAAGAATCTGTATTTTAAAAAATCACTCTGGGCTGGGCACGGTGGCTCATACCTGTAATCCCAGCAATTTGGGAGGTGAAAGTGAGAGGATTGCTTGAGCCCAGGAGTCCAAGACCAGCCTGGGAAACATAGTGAGACCCTGTCTCTATAAAAAATTAAATAATTAGTTGGGCATGGTGGCACCTGTCTGTATTCTGAGCTACCCAGGAGGCTGAGGTGGGAGGATTAGCTGAGCCCTGGAGGTGGAGGCTGCAGTGAGCCATGATGGTGCCACTGCACTCCAGCCTGGGCGACAGAGATCTTGTCTCAAAAAATCAACAAGCAGGCCAGGGGAGTGGCTCACGCTTGTAATCCCAGCACTTTGGGAGGCCAAGGCAAGTGGATCCCTTGAGCTCAGGAGTTTGAGACCCCTGTCTCTGCAAAAATAAAAAATAAAAAATTGGCTTGGCATGGTGGTGTGCACTTGTAGTCCTTGCTACTCAGGAGGTTGAGGTGGGAGGATCACTTGAGCCTGGGAAGTCGAGGCTGCAGTGAGCTGTGATCAACCCATTGCACTCCAGCTTGGGCGATGTAGCGAGATCCTCTCTCAAAAAACAAAACAAAACAAAAAAAAAATTATTCTGCCATCATTGGTCTTAGGACACCAGCATTTGGGAGCCATTGCACCACCAGATGATTTTCCATTTTTTAAAAAAAAGTGTGTATGACTAATGTTTAAGATGTTCTTTAGGCCGGGCATGGTGGCTCATGCCTGTAATCCCAGCACTTTAGGAGGCCAAGGTAGGCAGATCACCGGAGGTCAGGAGTTTGAGACCATCCTGGCCAACATGGTGAAACCCCGTCTCTAAAAATACAAAAATTAACTGGGTGTGATGGCACACACCTGTAATCTCAGCTACTTGAGAGGCTGAGGCAGGAGAATTGCTTGAACCCAGGAGGCAGAGGTTGCAGTAAGCCGAGATAGTGCCACTGCACTCCAGCCTGGGTGACAGAGTGAGACTCCTCAAAACAAAACAAAACCAAAAAAACAAAAAAAAAGAAAGGAAGAAAGAAAAGACAAGAGAAAAAGGAAAAATAGAGTAGAAAGGAGGTTGGGGTGCAGGGGAGGAGGGGAGCAAGTTGTAGTACTAAGTGGGTTATCTGGGGCAAAAGTGGGCTGGGTGTGGTGGCTCACGCCTGTAATCCCAGCATTTTGGGAGGCTGAGGTGGGCGGGTCACTTGAGGTCAGGAATTTGAGATCAGCCTATCTAACATGGTGAAACCCCATCTCTACAAAAAGTACAAAAATTAGCTGGGTGTGGTGGCACACACCTGTAGTCCCAGCTACTCAGGAGGCTGAGGCAGGAGAATCGCCAGAACCCAGGAGGCAGAGGTTGCAAAAAAAAAGAATAAAGAAAAAAAAAAGCGGTATCAGCAAGGGAACGCTGGAGCAGCACTTCTAAAACTGAAGCAATAAGTCCTGAAGTGTCAGCCTTACCAGGGACCCCATTAGAAATGCACATTCTAGGGCTGTATCCCAGCCACAAATCAGTTTCTGCATCAGAAACTGGGCTGGAACTCAGCATCTGTGTTTTAATAAGCCCTGCGGGTGATTCTGGTTAAGGACCTCTGAGTTAGGGGGAAGCCTTCAGCAGGGGTGAGCCGCAGCCCTGAGGGAGTGTGGACAGAGCGAAGTGGGGCCGGGAGGGTAGGAGGGAGGCCAACTGCATTGAGGCCTTGCAAGGACTTTGGCAGAGGAGTGACATGATCTGGCTTTTGCTCTGAAAGAGTCGCTATGGTCGGACCTCATTTGTTTCTAGAGTTTCCATAAACTGCTTCCTCGAGGCTCCTTGGATGCCCCAAGCACATTCGCTTCTCAGGACTCTTGCTGTGCCCTCTGCCTGGAATGCTCTTCCCTCAAACAGCCACAGGACCTTCCCTGACCACCCTCTATCCTCTCTGTCCCCTTCCTCTGTTTTGCTTCTGTCCTTAGCACCTACCACCATACAGTCATGCACTGCATTACATTTGGGTCAAGACGATGGTCCTATAAGATTACAATGGAGCTGACAAATTCCTATCACCTAGTGACCTTGCAGCCACCCTAACGTCATAACGCAACACATTCCTCACGAGTTTGCGGTGATGCTGGTGTAAACAAACCTACTGCGCCCCCAGTCATGTAAAAGTATAGCACATACAGTTATGTACAGTACACTTGATAATGATGATAAACAACTATGTTACTGGTTTATGTACTTACGATATGTTTTATTGTTATTTTAGAGTGTACTCCTTCTACTTAAAAAAAAAGTTAACTATAAAGCAGCCTCAGGCAGGTCCTTCAGGAGGTATTGCAGAAGAAGGCACTGTTATCACAGGAGATGACAGCTGCATGTTACGGCCTCTGAAGACCTTCCAGTGTGACAAGGTGTGGAGGTGGAAGACAGTGATATTGACGATCCTGACCCCAGGCTAATGTGTGTGTTTGTGTCTTAGTTTTTAACAAAAAAATAATTTAAAAAAATTTGAAAATAGAGAAAAGTTTATAGGATAAAGATGTAAAGAACAAAAGTGGGCTGCGTATGGTGGCTTACGCCTGTAATCACAACTTTGAGAGGCTGAGGCAGGAGGATCACTTGAGCCCAGGTGTTTGAAACTAGCCTGGGCGACATAGCAAGATCCTTGTGTCTACCAATAATAAAAAAAATTAGTCAGGCATGATGGCATGCACCTGTAGTCCTAGCTACTTGGGAAGCTGAGGTGGGAAGATCGCCTGAGTCTAGGAGGTTGAGGCTGTAGTGAGCCAGGATTGTGCCACAGCACTGCAGCCTGGGTGACAGAGTGAGACCCTGTCTTTAAAAAAAAAAAAAAAAAAAAAAAAAAAAAAAAGCTGGTCTCGGTGGCTCATGCCTGTAGTGCCAGCACTTTGGGAGGCCCAGAAGGGCGGATCACCTGAGGTGAGGAGTTCGAGACCAGCCTGGCGAACATGGCAAAACCCCATCTCTACTAAAAATACAAAAATTAGCCAGGCATGTTGGCACGTGCCTATAATCCTAGCTACTTGGGAGGCTGAGACAGGAGAATCACTTGAACCCAGGAGGGAGAGGTTGCAGTGAGCCAAGATCACACCACTGCACTCCAGCCTGGGCAACAGAGCAAGACTCTGCCTCAAAAAAATAAATAAATAAAGAGAAAGAAGGAAAAGCTATACAATGTGCTTGTGTTTTAAGTGCTGTTACAAAAGAGTTTAAAAGTTTTTAAAAAGTATATAACATTACAGTAAGCTAAGGTTATTATTAAAGAAATAAATATTTTTTTATAAATTTAGTGTAGCTTAAAAAGTCTACAGTTGTGTACAGTGATGTCCTAGGCCTTCACATTCACTTACCACTCACTCTCTTACCCAGAGCAACCTCCAGTCCTGCAAGCTCCATTTGTGGTAAGTGCCCTATATAGGTGTACCAGTTTTTTTTTTTCCTTTTTTTTTGAGTCACAATCTCTCTCTGTTGCCCAGGCTGGAGTGTAATGGCGTGAACCCGGCTTGCTGCAACC